ACAAGAATAAATAATTTTTACCATAAATTACTCTTAACTTAATTAATCCTAAAACTGCAAAACTAAATGTTTTAGTTACGCTTAGTTATTTTAATTGATTATTTTCATTCGGTACGAGTCGAATACCAATTATATTTTAAATTAATCTCATAGAGTTTGTTTATACAAAAATATTGTTTTCGAACAAAACACAATTTAATATCATTACGTTTTATCTTATTCCATAAATGAAATTAATAATAAATAGAAGTAGCTTTTAGCAGTTGAATTATGGGATTTATTCTTTCCTTCGCGCAAAATTTGTATACTGTTATTCATTATTTGAATAAGTTGATTTAAATCAGGTAAAAGAATATTAAAATAACTCAAAATGTGAATAAAAACTAGAAAACAAGAAAATAAAAGATACAATTTGATAATTAATTGTTTTGACTATAATTTTTTTCTATATAAGAGAAAAAGTATCTTGATAGCAAATTATTTAGGTAAGAGCACTTTGGTCTTATAATCATTGAAATTTATATATAATTTGATTTTAGAATAAATAGTAAAGATACATCTAAGTAGCATTGGATGCTTGCATTAGAAATCATAATTACCAGTACACTTTTTTTTTGAATTCCATTAAATTGAAATATTCGTTCAAAAATGCGAATACTTTAATTAATTTCATTGTAAATAGTTAATAAAGTTCCAATGACAGTCAGTTATACAATTATTGTCAAACGGTCACCTATAAAACTATGTAATAAAGAAATTAATAAAATTAAGGAATTTTTTATATCAGATTAAGCTTTTCAGTTTTCGAACTATTAAGATCCGAATTCCCTCATATTATAAATATGAATTAAATGTTATTCATATCACAATAAGAATTAATTACTTTTAATATAATGTTACAAATACATTCATCTATAAAAATTATTTTTATTCAATTTTATTTATAGTGTTATAAAAATTTGCGAATTTTGTCAGCAAAAAATCGCTGATAAAATTCAGAATTAGTATTCATTATTTTGGTCATTGCTTTGTTAAAATGTTGTTTGAGTACAGCCGTTTGCTATCATTCAAATGACTAAAAATACTAAGTTAAAAATATTAGGGTCGAACAAAATAAATAATACAATTAAAATGATTAAATCCCTACCATAAATAAATAGTGTCTTAAAATTGTAAATAAATATATATCATAAAAAATGATCATAATATTCAAAGCTTGCATAAAAGTGTATAAAATAAGGTTTTATATACAAAAATAATAAAATAAGCTTTAAAATAATTATTAAATCCGCCACTGAATATAATACGTAATTCACTTAAACTTTAATCTTATCCTTAAAATTTGTCTTAAAATTCTTAAGTTCGATCTTAAAATATTTTACATACTACAATAATTTATTAATGCTAAGCTAATAAAATATCAAGTTGACTATATTTAAATATCAGTCATGTTGTTTTTTTTTGTTTGAAAGTAAGCTTAAAGTAAATGTAGTATTTCGAAATGTTCGTTTCATTAAAAAAGAAAAACTATTAAAATAAAATTGAATTCTATCGTATAGGTACAATACTCGATAATAATCGCAGTTAATTTGTCATATCGCGGCTACACACCTGAGCCGCGCTGTAGAAGGATGGCGTTTCAAATGCCACGTTCTGTACGTAGCCATTCGTTTGATACAGGGGTGTAGCCGTATAAGCGGTCTGGTGATAATCCTGCGTGGGTAATTGCTGGATAAACTGATTTTGCCAAGCCTGCGCCTGAAAATAATCGTAGTCATAAGCATGATAAAGTTTTTAATTATTTGTTACAGCTATCCAATATTTGTATAATTATATTGGCCTGTAATTAATCTTTTGGATGTAGACAATGAACAAATAATAATAATAGCAATCAATTTTATCATCTAACTTTTACCATCAAAGCAACGTTATCCAGTAAATCATTATCAATGATTACTAATATAAGAATATGCAAAATAAGATTCAATAGAGAATTGTTTCATAATTTTTATTAACATTTAATTTGTCAGGTCGAATTAAATAGAGTCTTACACAACTTATAGCGATCTACCAACTTCTCTGATTTTTAACTTCCCGTAGGGCCAAAAACGGTAACTCAGTCTTTAAGAGAACGGAGCGTCTGATTTTAATAATTCAAAAAACATTTTACTTGTATTGACAAGATGAAGAACTGATCAAATTTTCATAAAGGCAGGTCTAGCGGTTTCGGAGATCTAATGAAAAATGATCATTAGACATATGCACATCAAATTATCAGATTTTTATAGTGATTTTAACAATAAGTATAAATTTTGTTTGCATTCCTATGGGTTCCGTACCAATGTTTATTTGTTAGACGGCGACGCGGCGCTTACGCGCTTTGACATTTTGTCTCTATGCAGTTAAAGCAGTACGATTGCTTTGAAAAAAAGTTCAGAATTTCCAAAATATGTCAAAACAAGAAAAATATTTTATTTTTCAAAAAATAATTTTTTTAAAAAAAAAGTTATTTTTTGTCAAATTCCGAGTTTCTCAAAAATCTAATTTTTTCGAAGTAATTTTTTTTCAAAAATGTTAATCGTTTTTAAAAAAATAATAATATTTGGTACGGAAAGTTCCAGCAATTTGCCTTAAGGCTAGATGCCATGCGCCCCACTAGTTTGTATATTTTTTTCATTACAAACAAATTTTCAATAATGAGGCATAACTAGCAGATAGTAGAATCAATAGAGATAAAAAGTGATTTTTCTCAAAACGTGGAATATGACAAAATTCTTCAATCGCCATGTTGCATACATTGCATTAAAATTATACTGCTATTTAATACAACAATATATAAAAAAATAATGCATTATAAATTATTATATATTATTTTTTATATGAACTATTGCGCTAGTAAACGATTATACCATAAATATGCATATAATTTAGTATACATGTATGTATACGAAACTCTAGAAGCATATTATCAATTTATTGTACGGCTCTTCTTATATAATTATATAATTCTTAATAGTCTGTCATATCATAGAGGCTTTTTTCAAAATTCAGTGTAAATAATACATACAGGCAAAAAAGTTGCGGCAATGTAAATTTAAACTATATGGTCTGCCAGACTATTACCGTAAGACAATTCTGTACGCATCATATTTAATATTTATCATTTTGATAGATAACCCTGAAACAACTTATTCAAGTCTGGCGATTATAATATAAATAGTTAATAATAAATTTTGAATGATCCTTGAAAAGGTCTAGTTTACTGAACCCCAGCCCCAACTAATTAAACGGAACTTAAATTTGGTAAAGAGATATATTGCAGACTTTACATTTTTGACTTAATGTTTCTTAAACATACTCATAAGCATGCATTAAAATTACTTTAATCAACGAATAATTATGAATGAATATGGAAACGCATATTCAAATTGATAAGAACGACAACAATGCTGATTATGATGATTGTTCATAAATTTTGTTTGTTATTGCTACACCAAATATGGGTATAATCGACAACGTCATGATTTCTAAATGGATTATCCACCGCTAAAAATTTCAAAATACATACTTAAAATTAGTTTCAGCTAAGACATATGCCGACAGACGGACAAACAAACACCAGTGACGATACCAGATAATTTTTTTAGCAATATTAATACTACTAAAGATAATGATATTTATCTATAACAGATATTCGTATCTATGTTTTTTATTTGAATGGAACGGTAGTGAAAGCTATGCTGTATCGATACTTGTATGAAATATAAAAAAAACGTTTATAATTTTTTGAAAAATAAAAAAAACGCTAGTATCATTATTAAATCTTTAACACTAAACCTACCAAGACCGTTTCAAACTTTGTGTATAACTCATTGTCAGACAATTTTAAACATTAAAATACTAATATCAAACTATATGACAATTCTTAGAACATACTAATATTTTTTTCACTCTTTGATTTAAATAATGTTATTTGGGGACTTGTTTTCATAGAAATATAGGTGCAAAATACAACATATGCCAAATGAACCAGACAAATTTATAATAAAGTGTTGGGCGGAGTGTGAAGTCAATAGTAAATATTCCTTATTTGGGAAATGACGAGAGAGAGATTGTTGAATTTTTCAATTGGATAGTTCGTTCTTCTAAAACTAATAAATTCATTCACAATTTTTGAAAAAAATTGTATAAATCAAATTTCATTACCATCTCGGTGTATAAAAGTAAACCGAAAAAATGCTTGTCCCAAGTTTCAAATATTATCCAATAGAGATAGGAGAAAGCAGCAAAAGGGTTCCGAAAAGTATTAGAATTTGTATTAGTACATTTCTTTATGAAAATGTGGTAGACCAGATGGCTATAAAATGTAACATAAAGTCGAAAACTTCTAGTTGGCAACTTTAGGTATATTTCAACACTTAGGTCCTAGATGGATGAAAAAGTGTGTATATAGAGACGACGAGTAAACGCATTTTTAGGCGAGTTTTTGTTTATATATAATAAATATATATTTTTTTAACTCGAGATGCATATTCAAAATCTAAAGAAATTCAACACTGACCATAAGTTCGGCTTTGTGTTGACGAAAAACTTTTTTTTGTATTTGTTGGCTATAAGCTGTTGGTTAAGACTTATGACTACTTATTTCATGAGAGGCAATCCATCGATTTACCATTCTCTTATATGTGGGATATTTTTGATATTAGCTCTTACGTCTAATAGTTAACATGTGATTGGATGTTGCAGCTATGTCCACGAAGGACGATTTCCACTTGGAATTATAAGTGGAAATTTGACATCAAAGCTGCCTGATGTCGGGCTACGGCGGTAGACGAAAAACTTGCAAAAAAATGTGAAACAACAAACATATTTGCAACGACTAAAATAATTGGCTAACAATATGAGAAAGATTAATGCAGTATATTATTTATGCAGTATATTATTTAATATTATTTATGGCTCTCTGTATAAATATTTGATTTTATTCGTTTTTTACTTATAATTTCTTTTAGAAATTGTATAAAAATAAATTTAGATAAAAGTTCATAAAAATTTCTATAATTTTTATACAGTGAAACAGTAAATCAATTATTATCTGAATTAAATAAGAAAATGAATCTTTTTAATAGTAGGCCAATTAGGCCGCGGTGCCGCGGTATAGGTATATACGAATTGTCGATAGGTTTAGTGTTAATTACAATAGTAATTGATGTTGCATATACAAAATTTGTGGGGTAAATCAAAAGCTTTTTAAAATATAAAAGAAATTAATAGTTACCTGATCCGGAGGTTGCGGCATTCCCCACGTTGGTGTAGGATAAAAAGCCATTGGCGTCGGCATTTGCTGTTGCTGCAGCGTCTGCTGTTGCTGTTGCTGCTGATTGTCTATGTGATGTTGTTGTTGAATTTGTTGCTGCAGTTGCTGTTGCATTTGCTGTTGTAAATTGTGTTGCTGCTGATGTTGTTGCTGCTGCTGTTGCTGTTGCACTGCACTATTATCGTGTTTCATTGTGGTAGGCGGAGCGGGACTGTTTGATGCCGGAGCAGGACTGACAGTCGACGACAACGGAGGTGGCGGCGTCGAAAGCGATGTAGGCAATGGCGTATTTAAACCGTGCGACAGCGCCGCCTTTCTTCCACGATAACTCTGAAATCGAATAAAACAAATATAATAACAATTTAACACGGAAGCTTTTTAAAAGATATAGACACGAGTGAATGAAATAACAATGTATTTTAATATACTTGTTATATATTTATAACAATGTAAACAACAACATATTTTATTTTAAGATTCATTTTGCTGCAAGATTATTTGATTGTAAAAAGTTTGCATGTTTTCTCAAAAAATTCTTATTGAAATAAATAGCCTAACGTTTTACGCATTCTATATCAATATAAGTATGGTATATAATAATAACATATAAATAAACATCGAACGATTCTAATACACATTAAGTCAAGTTACTTATGAAATAAATATACATCAAATAACATTTGCAAATGCTTGAACGAAATTCAAAAACAACGATATAAATGTAACTTTTAATGGGGCCTTCGTGGCGAAGTGGTTACCGCGTGGGTACGCATTCAGACGACGGATTGCGGATTCAATCACCGTCACGAACAATCCCGACATCGTGCAGTAGCGATATCAATTTTCACTTGAAAAGATAGGTCTTAAATATGTTTTCAAGCAAAAAATGCCTTCCCCAGGCATTGCTGGATCAAATCGAATAATATGTGTTAGCTCTATTAGATAAATTCTAATAATAAAATAATCAAATATGGATGAATCAACCGTTGGGTTACCATCTAAAAATACGATGTAAGGGAAGATTAACCCCAACAGCTTATAAGACGTAAGGTTTTGATTGCTGTTAAAATATGATAAAAAATATGCGGTTAATGTAAATAATTTCATTATTCACACACACAAATACACACACATATGGAAATGTGTGTGGATAATGGAAATATTGGAAATATTTACATTAACAGCAAATCTCATTTTTCATCATATAGTGTGTGTGTATGTGCGTGTGTGCAAATGCTCCTTAAATTGTAAAATAAAATTATAAAATATTGAAATTATGTACTTTTATTTATTTTTAGTCATTGTAGTTTACTAAAGTAACACAAAACTCTTACACGTTGTGCTTAGAAATGAGAAATTCATATTTAAACTGTTTGATTTTACTCGATAGAATATGATGAAGATTACTAGTGAGTACACTCAATTCATTTTATTTTTATTGCAAAGAATTCAAAACATGAGGATTATTACAGTTCAGTTGTCAGTTATTATGAAGAGCTTTTATAATATTTTTCATAATTCATCCGCAAAATTATTTCGAAGTTCGATCATATTTTGAAAAAAGAAACAAACACGCTTCAATGCTCCGCTATGCATTATAAGCAAAGATCCTATTATTATCCGATTAGTAATATTTCATTTAACAAATAGATATGTATTCCTTTAACGTAAATAATGCCTAGAATAGATAAAAAATCGCAGATGTTTTCAAAAGCAATTTAATACTTTTACAAAAATAATAATTCTCTTCTTTGAAATGTATTGTTGATCATATTATTTTCAATTTTTCTTACAAACACCATATCTAATACTGTTTATTTTTTATATAGAGTAAAGCGGGGGTTGAAGGCCCTAAGGTAAAAAGGTCCACTACCGGTATCGTGAAGTTAAGAATTTTTTTAATAATATTTAGAGGAGAAAAAATGTATAACCCGCCATCACCTAGATTCTTACGACGTTGCTATCGAGAGATGAATGTTGCTATCGGGATGACAATCGAAAATCCATAACAAAAGTATTTTCTTCTGTGGTTAGTTTTTTTGATTGCGATCACTGTTGTTTATTTTACGAGACATATAATTTTTATCTATACGTTATTCAATTGTTTTATAAAATGTATAGTAATTTTATTTAGATTAAACCTTATTTTTATATAACCTCTATGAAAACTTACACGTGGGTGGGGTGAAACTGAACATAATCCGAGCAAAGGTGTAAACAATAAAAAATAGTAAATAAAAAAGTAAATTAAGTTTAAAAAAATGAGTTTTACAAGCGATAAATTAAATAAATAGTAATTCCAACTCTGTTAATTTTTTCTGACGAAATACCAGATCAAGGTTATATACAGTGTTATCTCTGTGAAAAATGTACCCATGAAATTTATATTTTGCATTGGTTGAATAAAGTAGCTATTATTTCGTATAATTGTTTTACATATAACTTCTATAAATTCATATAAAAATCTATAAATGTTTAATAAAAATATCAATTACAAATTTAATGAATTGATATTAAGGTCACCTATTTCATTCCATTACAGTATATAAAAATATAACACACACACTCACATATGTATATATATATATATATATATATATATATATATATATATATATGTATATATATATATATATATATATATATATATCCTCATGCCATGGATTATTGCTTTTTAAGTTTCTAATATTATAATAATCAAATTTTAAGTAGTATAATCATCAAACACTATCGTTGCATATTTTAGTTTTAGAGTTTTTTTAGTGTAGTTGATTGTATTGATGTTATGCTTACTACACACACACACACACACACACACATATATATATATATATATATATATATATATATATATATATCACAACTTGCGTAAACCACGTTTAATTAAGAACGATATATCAACAATATAAGCAGTTTTAGATAATATCGAAAAGAGGTCAATGACATGAGAAAAATAATGCTAGGCATATAGCATACATTAATTAATTATGCATACATCATTAATGAAATTGAAAAACATAAGATTTTTTAACTCACCTAAAACAAACCGATCGCACAATAAATAGTAAATTTATTTCACTCAACATCACTATCATAAACACGGTAAAGATAAACTGCGCACCAAAACACTATCAATTTTATTTTTAAAAAATAAATTTGAGTTCTATAAGAAACTTACACGAACACCGAACACTGTATTGCGACGATAAGAAAATAAATATAAATTATCAATCATATATAAATATTATATACAGATTTATATATATATATATATATATATATATATATTTGTTTATTTATTTATTTGTTATAGTCTACCGAGAAAAAACGAGATGAACGCGCTGTACCGACTACTACACGGCTGTAAAAAATATTCTGACAAAAACACAAATATTCGTTGCGGCGGCGCTAACCTCCTGCTTCCCTATTTCTAATACAAGATGGCATTTGAACCGCGTACTGAGAACCGACCTACGTATTATCTCGGATTTTCCCTCGTGCTCGGTGGAAAGCGCGCATGTTTGTGTCTGAACTCGATTCGATCAGGCAATGTCTCGGCGCGAACGCCCACGATTATCTCCGAAGTACCATGGATCGCACCCTCAACCATCCACTGTTTGACGGCGCCAAGTGCAACGCGAATCCTTGCGCCCTGCACCTACTACCCTTCGAGACGTACCCGTTGCGACCGTCTCGAAAATATCTGATATGGTTCAACATATGGTGGCAGTACCGAGCCACTTAATTAATTTGAAAACCCCCAATTTTACTTAAATAAAAAAATACACCAAGAATAATTAACTGCCCGTGGGGTAAGCTATAGTTATAGCAAAAAAAATGAAATTTTTTTATACATCTTTACGTTTCAGAGGTTTCTGAACAATTTGGTATGCTTCAGAAAAAATGAATGTGTGTGTGTGTTCGGATACAATTTTTCGTCGACTATTTTGAAAACTCGGATCAATCGATTTTAATGATTCAATCAACTTTCGATTCCTATTGTGATGAAAGAGACGTGCTTGTTAGTTTTTAGTAAATGCAGCTCCTGCCGTTTCGATGATACGGGGCAAAAAGTGCCAAAAATGGTGATTCAGTTTTTGGGAGAGCGGAGCGTCCAATTTCAATAATTCAAAAAACATTTTATTTTATTTGTATTTGGAAAAACAGCGGTTTCGGGAACACAGTAAAAAAAGTAAAGAAAGAAGCCATTTGGCGGTCAAAAATTATCATTAGACATCCAATTATTAGATATTTTATAGAAATTTTAATACTTCGATACTTCGTCTCTGAAACAGCTACGCAGCGCGATTGCTTTAAAAAAGTTTAAAATAAATTTTCAGAAAAGTTCAAAATTAAATTCAAAAAAGTCAATTTTTTTAAATATTTCGAAATTCTCAAAAAAAATTTTTTTAGTTTTCAAAAAAATATTGAAGCTTTTTTTTTAAAAAAAAAAGAAATGCCTACTCGTGAATTTAGTTTTTGCTCGATGGATTAGTTGATCGTATAAAATCTTAGAAAGACCGCTATTGCAACTTCTTCTATGATCTCGAGAAAATATGGAAAATTTCTAGGATAACATTTCCCGGCATCTCATCCGTCAGAAATTGTAAAAAAATCAAGGAAAGCGCGGATGAAATTCTAATAGGTGCATTATGCATAAAAAAAGTAACAAATGACAAAATACACTTCTAACTACGATAGAACAGTACTATTAATAAGTTATATTATATTGATAAAAGCCGAATTATGCAAAATTGTAAAATACACTATAATATTTTACGATATTTGTTAAGACCATGAACTGTTTTGTCATATAAAGTTTCATAAAAATCGTCACAAAAAATCAACAATTGATTCAGACAAACCGGTTCAGATTTTTTTGCGAAAACGTGACATCGACGAAAAAATAAAGGATCAACCGATCGTCGCAAAAACTAATCAACACGAGTTCGTCTTGGGTTACTTAAAATGACTTTAAAATATGGTTCAGACCTTTTTGAGGAAATTTTAGCACACATACAAACACACATATATTTACCAATTGCGTCCAAGTATTCTAAATGACTTGAAACGTCTAAAAAATATAAAATTAGCACGTCATTCTTGCGAAATCATACTACGCCTTCGGGAATTTAATAAAAGTATTAAGATGAATAAGTATTTTCCGCAAAATTTGAAATCTAACTTCTATGCATAAATCCTCTTCTATACATAAAATGAAAATATTATTTCAACTTGACTACTATTCACTTTTCAAATGAATGGTAATTTGAAGTCAATGCTTTTAATATTGCTTATTTTTAAAAAAAAGTTCCGAGAGACTTCGAAGTTATTTTTCATATTAAATCAATATTTAAAAAAAATAATAATTGAATATATCAATGTATTAGTCTTCAACTTACCCCAGTGCCTCGACCTTTGCCTCGACCCCTTCTGCTTTCTTGGCGTATAAGGTTACCATCCGGTCCGTAAACCAACTGTAACAAAAGAGATTATAATTAAACCATATTATTCAAAATCGGTCGATAGTATATCATAACTCTTAGATTTAAATTTTCACTAATCCGACACTATTAAAAACCAGACGGTGTCGATTAGTGGAATGTTCGGATTACTGAATTATATATAGGGGGTCCCAGAATTTAACGTCAAGCCGAAAAAGGGTGATAGTATTAACCTGAAAAAAATTAGAAACAAAATTATCTCACGTTGTTTGGAAATTATGAGCTTAAAAGTGCAACCTAGAGCTTTGATGAAATTACGACAATTTTTCGATTATTGTGGTTAATTTTAATTGTTCATTTAAACTTTGGAGCCGTAACCGTGGATAACATTACTAGGACCACAATAAAATAATAATACAATTGCCCCAAGTTTTTGGTGGACAATTGTGTTATTATTTTTACTGTGGTGCTAGAAATATAATTCATGGTTACGGTTCCAAAGTTTAAATGAGCAACATTAATCAAAATTCAGCACAATAACCGAAAAATGGTTATAATTTCACGAAAGCTTTAGATTGTACTTAAAAGCTCATAATTTCCAAACAACGTGAGATAAATTTTGTTTTCTAATTTTTTTCAGGACAGTTAAGGCTAATACTACTAATCACCCCGTTTCGGCTTGCCGTTAAGGTCTGGGACAATCCTGTATTTATATTTCTTATAATGGATCTAAAAAAAATATATTATTTTCAGTCATATTGTTTGTGATAGTTAGAATAAGCTCATCAATTTAATTGGCTTTTGAGATCTTTCATAGTATCAGTGTTAAAAAAATCAACTTCAATTGTGGCAAATATGTATTAAATTATTCTTAATACGGTTGCGCACTTGCAATAACAAGCATGTCCGCTTACGACATAAATTAACTAATAAATCTGTCATCATAGACATACAATTCGATAATATTATTTTAGTTTTCAATGAAACTATATTACTATTTTTATTTCACATAGGACAATAAAATCATATTTAAAGTAAAAATAGCTCTGAGACACTGAAAATACTTAATGCAAAATGATGAAAAACTGTTTGCAATGAACAATAGCAAATAATTGATAAAGACATATCCATAACTCATTTAGGCAGGTGAGTGAGGTCTTTTTAATTACTATGCTCCGGAATAGTAAAATGTTCTAAAGAATATTATTAAATAAGATTTTATAGTGTTTTAAAGAATATTATTATATAAGATTTTATAGTGTTTTAAAGAATATTATTAAATAAGATTTTATAGTGTTTTAAAGAATATTATTATATAAGATTTTATATTTTGTATAATATGATTCTGATGATTCTGACTTGTACTCAATATGATTATGAAAAAATCTTTTGGTAAATATTATTGTGAATACTAGTATATATATACAAATATATATATATATATATATATATATATATATATATAGATAGATAGATATATAGATAACTTTTATTGCAGTCTCATATAAAATATTATTAACTTCCCGTAGGGTAAGTTACAGTAATCGCAAAAAAATCGAAAATGAAAATTTTTATATATCTTTACGTTTCAGAGGTCTCTGAATATTTTGGCATACCTTAGAAAAAATGGATGTATGTGTGTGCGTGTATGTATGTGTGTGCGGATACAAATTTTCGTCGACGATTTCGGAAACACGGATGAAGCGATTTGAATAATTCAAAAAACATTCGATTCGTATTGATAAGGAGACGTGCTGATTAGTTTTTGGCGAAGGCAGGTCCAGCCGTTCCGAAGATACGGGACAAAAAGTGCCGAAAATGGTAACTCAGTTTTTAAGAGAACGGAGCGTTCGATTTGAATAATTCAAAAAATATTTTATTTGTACTGACAAGATGAAGAATTGATCAGATTTTCATGAAGGCAGGTCTAGCGGTTTCGGAGATCTAATGAAAAAAGTAAAACAGAAAGCCATTTGGCGGTCAAAAGTGATCATTAGACATAGGCACATCAAATTATCAGATATTTTATAGAGATTTTTACAATAAGTATGAATTTTGTTTACATTCCTATGGATTCCGTACCAATGTTTATCCGTTAGACGGCGACGCGTCGCTTACGCGCTTCGATATTTCGTCGAAGTTCAGAATTTCCAAACTATGCCAAAATGAAGAAAACTTTTTTTTTCAAACAATTTTTTTTTGTTTCCCAAAAATCTAATTTTTTTGAAGTAAAATTTTTTAAAAAATGTTAATCGCTTTCAAAAAAACTAATTTTTGGTACGGGAAGTTTCAGCAATTTGCCTTAAGGCACGATGCCTTAATTGCCTTAAGACAGAATTCCACTTACAGCTAGTTCAAGTATTAGGAAGGATGAGTAAAAGACCGCGTCGTTAAATAGCATAGAAGCAAGATTTTGCACCGGTTACAATTCAGTAGAGCGGCACATAGCCAACAGATGGTAACACAATATATTGGGAACTTAGAGCCGTTAAGCGCAAACTGTGTTGATCCAATAATTTGAATGCACTTCTCTTTTACAGTTGTTTTCATTAATTTCATTATTCGTTTTCATTAATATATAATACAAGCACAGTATGTTATTTTTTCTTTGATATTGCTCGAAACTTTTCGTTTCGTAAAATAAGATTTTTTTAAATTAAATTTTGATATTATTTGATGTTGATTTGTTCAAAAAGTTGTTTTTATTTGAAACTTTATTTTCTAATGTTTGAATATAATATAATCGAATATTATACAATAAAAATTATGATCGTTTATTCAGTAATATTTTTATAGATTATATTTTTTGCGTAAATAGTACGAAACTCTAGATTTTATATAAAGTAGTACGGCTTATATTGCCATTAAATACCATAATCATTTCATTTTCTGATATTTGTGATATTAAAAATTGTTTTTTTTTTAATTCTTCGACTAATGGAACGAAAATTTAACTCGAATAGTTGAAATGCTTGTTCAAAAAAATCGTACTAGAAGTCTTTTAAGAATTTTGTAAAATTTAATGAGTAAAATGTATGTGCATTTTCTGGAAGTGTAAGCATGAAAACAAATCCTTTTAATTTTTTGCGATTGTATAGGTAGTATAATGATAATTCATTGAATAATATGAATATGATGATTGAAATGCAAGAAACAAAAAAAAATGTTTTGAATGAGATCTCGAACTTAATCTTTACATTACTTTACAGATTTTGAAACTATAATCAACGCAATTATGACAAAGATTATTTCCGATTTTATGTGCGCACTCATTTGTTTTGGAACTCATGTCCGATTACACTTAATAAATTTAAGCAACAACTATGAACGATTGTTGCTGTTTGAATTGAGAAGGCACATCCTCTCCAGTACAATTTATTCTCACATACGCACAGATATGTATATGTGCACATATTCGTGCACACATATGCCGAACTTAATTGTACAGATTTAAAAATTGGTACAAAGCATTTAACTTGATACTGTCGGTATCATATCAGATCCAGGCAGAGCTTTCAAAACTGCGACATTTCCGTGATATTTATGATAACATCAAGGGTATTATTACACATCTAATGTTATTGGCGAGATAAATCTGCTCTAAATCGTTGACATAAGTATATTAAAATGATCATTATTGAATGTATATATTTAAATTCTCATTATTAATTTTTACCGTAACTCTGTTATATACGTCTTCAAAACAAAATATAATTTCACAGCAAAAATAAAAAATGCAATATTCAAGTAATATCGCAAACCTTTCGATAATTTTACACATGCCAGCATAAACTAACTCTTCTCCATTTTCATCATAATTCAATATCTACAAATATATAAACCTGAATGACAGTTATATATTTTACCAAATATTAGTTCAAAATAATTGATTCGTGATAATATTTTTATATACCTTACACTTCATGAGCAAGACATGTATGTATAAATTGAACTTTCTTATTAAAAATTAGAATGGTTTATGGAATCGAAAATTTTCTTTCTAAAAATAAATGAATTAAAAATCGTAGGACAGGCTTAAGATTTTGAACAGTTTTTGTGTAATTTATTGTAAAGAATTTATTCTATTTAGACATATAATTATGTAGTAAATCCATTTGCTGCGAACGAAATTGCTAAAACGTGTATAGTAGCCCTTTCTGTCAATTACATACTTAAGATAGGAATAAGTATTAACCATTAGTTAACAATAATATATATGTTACGTTTCAAATTAAAATGAATATGACACATGTTTGCAAAAATAATATTATATCCTGCATACAGATTATATTGAACAAATATGAACTCTAAAGCATGGTTTATCAATGAAACTTGTATTGCTGCCTGCCATTTGCTCCACACGTAATATGCATAGTAAACTGACGCACTCGGGTTTCAAATATGACATCCCGTATTAACAATTTATTATTGAAAAGTATCACTTACATTCCTAGCATACCACCCTACAAGTTTTTTCAAAAACTTGTTCGTTATGAAATTTATATCACATAAATTTTAATTGAATTGCGTTTTTGATTTATGAAAATTTAATATCTGACGTTGCTAGTCTCCAGTTATTAACTTCCCGTAGGATAAGTTATTGTAATGGGCCGAAAGTCGGAATTGAAAATTTTTACATTTCTCGACGTTTTGAAGGTTTCTGAACATTTTGGCATACTTCAGAAAAAATGGATGTGTGTGTGTGTATGTATGTATGGATACAATTTTTCGCCCACGTTTTCGGGCGTACGGATCAAACGATTTGAATGGTTCAGAAAACATTCGATACCTATTGATAAGGAGATGTGCTGATTAGTTTTTGGCAAAGGCAGGGCCAGCAGTTACGGAGATAAAGAGCAAAGAGTGCAGAAAATAGAAATCGAGTTTTTGAAAGAATGGAGCATTCGATTTGAATGATGTAAAACCATTCAATTAGTAATGATTGGGAGAAGTGGTTATTAGTTTTTCGCAAAGGCAGGCCCAGCCATTTCGAAGATACGGAGCTAAATGTACAAAAAATGGCAGTTTTTGAG